GTTTTTTTTTTTTTTTTTTTTTTTTTTTTTTGCCTATTCTACCTATGCATAATTTTTTGAATTAAAATTTCATTTTACCTTCAAAAAAAAAAGTTACATGAATTTTTTAATAAAAAGAAGATTTTTTATTCATGTATAAAAAGATAATATAAAATATTAAGAGAATAAATAATATGTAGATGATAATTATCTTAAGAGATAAATGAAATGTAAAATTAGTTTATTTTTAACTGTATTAGTCTTAAAATTAAAATAATTTTACTAATAGTTAATTTATAGAATAATAATTTTCAAAATGTAATTTAAAAAGTTCTTATATATTTGTGAATATTTAACTTAATAATTATTCTTTTTTCTATATTTCATATATATTAATATTCTTTAATATTATACTAGATCTTCATTTAATTATTTTTATTTTTTTTATTTGAATTGTTGATATATTATTTTAATAAATTTCTTAAAGTATTTAATATTATAATTATTATTTTTTATTCTCAAATACATGTGATATTATTTGTTTATTATTTTTTTTATCTTATTCAAAAGAATAATATATAATAAAAAGAAATGTAGAATATATATATGTGGAAATAATAATAATTATTTTTTACATCATTATTTTATATTTATGTATAATTTTTGTTTATATTATTTTCTTTATAATTATGTAGAAATAATTCTAATCGCACACAATTTTTTAAATCTTAAAGTTTAATACTAATAAAATTAAAATTGAATTTATATACGTGTATTATTTTAATTACTAATTTTTTTTTTTTTTTCTTTTTTTGATTTCTATATCTCTTAATAAAACACATTTAAACCTTAATTTAATTTTTTTTATTAAACAAAAATATTTTTTTTTTTTATTATCATCATTGATGTTTTAAGATACAAAGATAATAAATATTAAAGTATTAATATTATTAAATTAAAAAATATTGAAAAAAATGATAAAAAATTTTTATTAAAAAAAAAAAAAAAAAAATTAAATTAGAAATAAATGAAATTATTTAAGAGTATAATATTTTAAATTAAAAGTCTATATTTAAGAGTTTTTT